AAAAGGTAAATTATCATCCAGGATGGACTGCAATTTCAGCCTCGCCTAGGTTGTCCCAGCACCCCCAGTGGGACTCGAACCATGACAATGCAGTGAATAATCTCGACACGTTAACCCCTACGCCATATTGACTGGGTCACGAGTCAGACGCGAATTGCAAGGAAGGCCAGGCCTTTTCCCTCTTTGGTGGGATTGTCGATGAAGCAAACGTATTTTTGCTATAGCAATCGACTACGTTAATTATTTTTCGTATGTTAGTAGAGTTTTGAGACTACCAGAAAACCAGTAATATGAGATGTATTCACCCTATTTCGTTTAAAGTTATGCAGGACTGGTAGTAGTGGCCGAATAGCTAACGTGTCTGCACTGTCACGGGGTGTTGATAAGACCTATGCGAGGTGGAAACTGCAATCCACCCTGGATGAGAACAATTTTTGGGAAAGCAAGGTTATGTGAAATTCAATTGAGACGTCAGCTCTACTCATATCATTGTAGAAAAATTCTTCTACCAGCCCTTCACCACCTTAAACGAAATAGGATTAATACATTTCATATCACTGATTTACTGTTAGTCTCGAAACTCTACTTACATAGGAAGAAATGAGTAGTGTATTCGATTGCTGGATGAAAATTTACCTTAAGGAAAACAAGGTTATGCTAAATGTAATGGAAATTGAGGTTTCACTGATATTAATGTGGGAAAATTCAACTACCAGTCTTTTTCATTTTAAATGAAATAGAATAAACATATCTCGTATATCTGATTTGTTGGTAGTCTCAAAACCATACTTTAAAAATAACTTGACACATTAGGAAGAGAGAGTGAAGATAAGACAAGGTGTTAAGGGCTATCATTTTATAATGACCTTCAGTGGCACTTGAGCTGTGGGCACATGAAGCCACAGGAAATGTATGCGTTTTAAGGCGTCATATTCTGCGAGAAATTGAAACCGATGGGCACCCACGTATTCTTGCCAGTAACCTCGATATTATACTCCGTTTGTAGCTGCCACCGGTTTCGATGAATGGACACCATGCCATTGCCTGGCATGACACAATGTGGCTGGGATTGTGTTTGTCTCTGAGCATTTAGGAGGCCTGGATAAGTGAAATTCAGTGTAGATTTCCAGCCTGCTCTCCAATTCATCGTGAGCAGCCTTGCTACCAGAACTGATACAGGCTCTGTTCTGATCGCATCAAGACCAGACTATCACTAAGGCCAAATTTAGACGAGATCAACTTGTCTTGATCTAGACTCGTTGAATTGAGCATCTGGAGATCGATATGTGTATATTCACTCGACGCGATTACACACTAGCCAGGCAAATGACCATTAACATTGCAAGTGAAGGGTGTCCTGAGTCGGTTGTGCTCTGCCCCCTTCTGCATCGACCCGACACGATGACCATCGATTCAGATTGAAGATGCGCACAGAACACACGACTGGATGAACCAAAGCCTCGTGGATAGGAAGGACATAGATCTGGCTGCGTAAGATAAGTTGTCGGGAACATTGACCTGCCGACAAAATGCGCGACCCTATTGGCTGGAGCGGGATCCAGTCGGTCATACAGCAGACATTTGGCCATCCAGGATGTCAATCAATCCGTCTACCAAGCGGTCAATCAGCCAATCTGTCCATCAGCCAGTCCAGTCAGTCCATCGGCCGGTCGGATAGCAGGTCAGTCATGGTAGCGATTCGATGCCGACCTACTTGTGGACCTAGCAGAAACGTGAGGCTTCCCGATTGGCCATTTGACTGGCTGGACGGACAACGGAGGGCTCGATGATCCGGCTCCGTTTGGCTCTGACCGACGTCGAAAGAGGCGCTCTCAATAGAGTTGTCCTTCGTGTTCCGGCCTCACTTGCAGAGCAATTCAATTGAGGACCGGAGTAAGGGCGAGGGCAGGATGGCGTGGAAAATCGGTAGCATCGCGTCTAGTGGCATAGTACCCGTGGGCCAAGACAGGGAGTGTGTGTGTGTGTGTGAGAGAGAGAGAGAGGTGCAGAGGAGCTAATTGACTAAGATGACCCAGAGCTGGTACGACGCGTTAGTTTTCAATGATCACAAATAATCACAATGTTTATAAAGTCAGACAACTTGTAGTCCTGACAAGCAACTGGGTCTCGATAAATCTCCGGAGATAACATTTTTGGGGAGACTTTTATTTCATATAAAAGTGAATGAAGAAGATATTCGAATATACTAAATAAACATCCAAACAATTAAATATATATCTATGTCTAAACCTTATGGTTCATAAGTTTATTTAAGATGAAAGATAGAGCAGGATAGTCTTCTTAGCATAGTGTTGGCTTCAGACATTCGTAAGAATCAGTTCCGGATCTGCTGATGCCCATCATATTATGGATGAATGCTCAGCTAGTTTTCACTCAAAACGAGCGAGGATGTCTTGCGGACTGCATCAACCTGAACTGGATGATCATTCCCAGCCTCGGACCGTTGAGTGGGTACATTTTGAGACGTCTGAAAATGTACCAAGTCTGAAAATGATCAGGAATACTATGACAAAGGAGTCCTGGCAGGGTGTGTTCATCCAGGTTGCCTGATAAAACGACGAATTTGCCAAAATGAGGTCAAACCACTTCCATGTATATATACATATATATGTATATAAACTAAAAGATGAGTCGAAAGTCGATTAACACCATTTATCGTATCTATTTGTGATCAATTGCTGAGAGTGCTTGATTAATGCTTTGCATTTTGCGATGGCATATACTATCAAATGACGTTCTTCTTCCGGCCTGCCTGAAGACTCGTTATCAGACCAACATGAAACCAGTCGGCGATGAATGGATATCATTACATATGCTATTTTTTAATCTCATATATTAATTGTGGTTGTTGTAGCCTTCGATTTCATAGGAAAGTGCAGCATGAAGAGATTTGTAGGCCGATCTTGCCAGAGGACGACAGCTGGCTCCGATTTTTATGTGAATTTTGATTGGCCTAGCTCGCCTTGAAAGTTACATCTTTTTGGATGTGTCGTAACATTACGGCC